ATTCCAAATTTGAATCTTCTGTGTCCTGCAATGAAAACCCTGGTTTCCAACAGAATCAACTATTAGTAGTTTCTAAATATACCTTGCGATGGGTAAAATAAATTTTCCAAGTAGTTTTTTTCTTTTCTCAGAATGTATCTGTCACATTTTTCTTATAACAATTGTATAATATTGTCCTACCTAGTTTCTCATTGAAAAAGTTGACTGGGTGAAGAGGTGAAGGATGATTGTGAGAGTATAGCAAGAATCTAGGAAAAGGAAGGGAAAATGTTAATGAACTGAATATTTTTCTAACTAGTCTTGGAATCTTTACAGGTTATTAAAAATAACTTGAATCCTGTTTGGAGGCCTTTTAAAATCTCTCTTAACTCCCTGTGCTATGGAGATATGGACAAAACTATCAAGGTAATTTGAATTTATGTGGATGTTATTTATACACACATACGTCTTTCATAAAACTAATAGATTAGATAGTATTTAATAAAAGTTAATGATGTAATAGATACCTGTAAGGATTGAATTGTATTTTTATTTAGGAATACTAAAAGAGAAATGTCTCTGGTAAGTAAATAGTTCAAAGGAGTAGATATGTTTGACTGATATGTTGACCTAATGCTTAATCAAACATTGTGATTTTTATTTTACTCTTCATTTTAAAAAATAGAATGTCCAATTTAAATCTTTCCTCCTTTTAATAAGATTCATTTGCTCTGCAATGAATCTTTAACTGCAATCTTTGACTTTGGTATGGCCCTTGTGGATAAAAGCAGATGTTACTTTAACTAAAAACCCAAAGCTTCCCCCTATAGCAGAGAGGAGCAGCAAAAGAGAATAGTGGTGGCATTTTCCATTGTATTTTCAGAGCAAGATATTATTCATTGAAAACTTTTAGATAGCTTTAGTATAAAGTGTTAGGAGAGCAGGGTGGGTACAGGGAGTAGAAGCAGGTGACTAAGAATTTTTTTTAATGGTTTAATTTATAGCTATTTAACAGAAAATATTTATTATTTTTAAGACATATTTTACTAGACTCTCTTGTTTTTTTTAATGTTTTATTTATTTTTGAGAGACAGAGACTGACTGTGAGGGGGTAGAGGAGGGGCAGAGAGAGAGGGAGATACAGAATCCAAAGCAGGTTCCAGGCTCTGAGCTGTCAGCACAGAGCCTGACGCGGGGCTCGAACTCACAAACCGTGAGATCATGACCTGAGCCAAAGTTGGACACTTAACCTACTGAGCAAATGAGGCACCCCTAGAGTCTCTTTACATAAGATTCCAGATAGAAGTCTCTTGTGTTTAGAGTCAGCAAACTGAAGTGGGTGTTTTTGTTTTCTTTTTCCTTTGGTAATGAATATGGTAAAAACAGGAAAGGTGATGGCATGGAACACTGGATTTTGTGTCAGGCTATATAGTTCAAGTCTTGACTTAGGCTTTCAACCAGATAAGGGATCTTGGGATCTGACTTCTTCATTTATATAATAGAGAAAATAATATCTATGTTACAAAAAAAAGGAAGGATTAAATTAATGAAAGTAGAAGTTTTATACACCATTATACATAGAATAGATACTGTTACATTGAAAACGGTTTCATTCCTTAGCTCTGTAAAAATTTGTCCTCAGTTGACAGAGAACTTCAGAAATCAATATAGAGGCGCTTGGGTGGCTCAATTGGTTAAGCGCTGACTCTTTATTTCACCTCAGGTCATGATCTCACGGATCGTGAGTTCCCCACATTGGACTCTGTGCTGATAGGGTAGAGCCTGCTTGGGATTCTTTCTTTTCCTCTCTCTGTGCCCCTCCACCTTCAAAATAAATAAATAAACATTGAAAAGCAATATAAGTATGATTTATGTTGTGTTTCAAACAGCAGTGAAAATTTAGGTAACAAATACATGGAACAGTAGTTTTAAAAATTACTTTCTATTGTCATATTAAACTTTTGCATTTCACATTAAAAATAGTAAGTTGAGGGGCACCCACCTGGGTGGCTTAGTCGATTGAGTGTCCAACTTCAGCTCAGGTCATGATCTTGTGGTCCGTGAGTTCGAGCCCCGCATCTGGATCTGTGCTGACAGCTCAGAGCCTGGAGCCTGCCTTGGATTCTGTATCTCCCTTTCTCTCTCTGCGCCTCCCCTGCTTATACTCTCTCTCTCTGTCTCTCTCAAAAATAAATAAAGATTAAAAAAAATAGTAAGTTGATACTTTATTAGCTCTGAGAAACAGGAAAGGCTGGGGGAAAAATGCCTAAAACATAACCGGTTGCTTATAATAATATGTTAACAATGAAACAATGTTTTTTAAACTTTCTTTTGCACACAGTGGCATGCTTACAGGGCTATTTTATTATAGTAAGTAAACTGATTTTATGAGCTTTCTCTGATGAATGTCTTCCGTTCTTAAAAGTTTCTCAGTTTGTTTTAACTGTACACAATTTGGTTTGCCATATCATGACTGTCTTTCTTTAGTTCTCTATTTCTTTGCAATATCACAAAGTCATACATCTGTGATTCTTGTGGTGTTTGGAAACTGTTTAGAGGTGTAGCAAAGAGCATTAGAGCACAGAATAGAGTCAGAATAATTGGTAATTTGCTGTGTGAACGTGCCAGTGTTATCACTCCAGCATGTATTATTATTTTCATAATATCAAATGAATAAAAGAAATAATCATGCATGCTACCACCTTGCCTAAAATGGGAATGCCTTAGTGAATGTAGTATTGTGTGGTGTGTACATTCTTTTACATATATACATATGTGCATATGTATATATGCATATATTTCAATTTCATAAGCACTGCTGATACTGTTGTTTAAAACAGCCAATAGTACTAGTTTTTGTATTTTTGAGACGAGAAATTAAATGGCCAAATTAAATGGAGAAATTAAACGATTAAATTATTATATCGTTTACCTCAAACTATATCTGACCATATGCCAGTATTATAAATGTTACATCTTTCTTTAGCGCCAAACATTTGCCTTCAGTGGGGCAACAGTGAGGTTTTCCTGTATATTTATTATAGTGTGCTATCAGAAATTACAGTTTAAAAATATTTTAACATTCCCTGAAGTCTCAGGCAGGCTAAACATATGAAGAGTTTTAGGTGTTCATAAGCTTCTTAAAAATAAAATTGGCCTTATCAAAGCTTGATCTTATATATAAATTGGAGTTTGCTGAATGCAAATCTAAAATGCAAAATTTGGGGGCACCTGGCTGGCTCAGTCCATAGAGCATGCTACTCTTGATCATGGGGTGGTGAGTTCAAGCCCCACATTGGGTATAGAGCTTGCCTTAAAAAAAAAAGGTCCAGTTCTATTTTCCATAATTTAAAGAAATGCATTAAAAATGCGTGAAAATATTAAGTGTTTTGGCTTTATCTTAATTTTATTTCTCTAGAAAAAAATAGTAAGATCATTAATTTTCTTTTCTCCTGATACTTTGAAGAGTCAGATAAAGGGCTTTGGTTTAAAAATTAAATACAAGATACATAAGGCAAGAATCAAACTGTCATAATTGGTACATGACCAAAGTGTTTCTAAAAATAAAAACCCTTTACTGTTACTCAAAATTGCAATTCTGGGCCTTGTTTTTATTGATTGGTTTTTAGTCTTCCTGAATACTAATGAAAATATTAGTAAGGAATGAAAGACTCCTTGTTATAGGCACTTAGTTCACTTCTCATAGAACTGAGAAGAAGGTAAATCATTTTGCTGGCTGAACATATAGAATCCCTAAGCATTTTAGCTTGGCAATGAATATAACTTTGTAAAGGATGCTTTCTTGGCAGATCACTTCTTATAGGCTTTTATTTTAAATCATAGGCTCTTGAAGAATTCAAAAGTGCCCTCAGCATAGCTTTACCTATATTGCTTACCAAATAAAACATACCATCTTCTACGACTATTTAATTCCTTTGCCTACTTCACAAGCCTAAGTAGAGAATGTGTGCAGTGCACATAAAAATGTTTGCAGAAATGAGATAATCTGTTCTGAAATTATAAAGCACTCTAAAAATGTTAGTTATCCAGTGATCACAATGGACACCTCTCCTTGCTAACAGTTCACACCACATTAATTTTTTCATTACAATGAATAATCAGGTATTCTTGTGAATATTTACCCTCTGGTTACTCTGTCAACTTGGCACAAAATTACATGCAGTTCTTGGGGTGCCTCGATGGCTCATTCAGTTGAGCATCAGACTCTTGATCTCAGCTCAGGTGTTAATCTCAGCATTGTGGGTTCAAACCCCACATTGGGCTCCATGCTGGGGGTGGAGCCTACTTAAAAATAAAAACAGGGGCGCCTGGGTGGCGCAGTCGGTTAAGCATCCGACTTCAGCCAGGTCACGATCTTGCGGTTCGTGAGTTCAAGCCCCGCGTCAGGCTCTGGGCTGATGGCTCAGAGCCTGGAGCCTGTTTCCGATTCTGTGTCTCCCTCTCTCTCTGCCCCTTCCCCGTTCATGCTCTGTCTCTCTCTGTCCCAAAAATAAATAAACGTTGAAAAAAAATTAAAAAAAAATATATAAAAAAAAAAATAAAAAAAAATAAAAACAAAAACAAAAATATAAACAAATATACTCTCAGCTCTCTTCTGCCTGCTGTAAGAAAGAGCAAACATTTGGCCAGAGGCATTGGTAAGACTAGAATTCACCCTGTCTTACATGGAAATAGAGTCAATATGACCTAGAATAGATAGTTCCTCAATGGATCAAGTACTCTTTCCCTTGAATTTTCTTTTTTATTGTAAGACTTGTGATTCTCAGAAGGATGCAGATATGACTTCATCATATCTAACTCTGAATACAAACCTAGCCTTACCAGATTGCAGCTGATGAAAAACATTCCATATTTCTAAATCATCTAGGTTTTAATTATACAATTTTTAGCTGTCTAGGATCTGACTTCTTTTCTTCCTGCAGATGATGGCTTTTAGTCATTGTATAGTGATAACAAAGTAAAGAAGTGGATGAGAAAGAAGACGTAATTTCATTTTGATTTTATCAGCTCTTATAAAGAGCATGATGGTGAACTGGGAACTGCTTAATATGGAATTTAAACAATATTTGTACTTTTTGTCTGCCTATGATCTATCCTAGAGCCCCATTCCAAGGATAGCTGGGGTTTGAAGTGTTTCAGTATTACTCCTCCAGGAAGTTACTTCCTACTTCTCTAAGTAGAGCTGCATAATAAACATTTTCACTTATTTTAATTGAAAGGGCACTTCCTGGTAAGTCTCAATTATTGCAGCCAATCCTTTTAAACAAAATTTTGTTGATTTTTATATATTCTTATTATACTTAATTCTAGGTAGAGTGCTATGATTATGATAATGACGGGTCACATGATCTCATTGGAACATTTCAAACCACCATGACAAAACTGAAAGAAGCCTCCAGAAACTCACCCGTAAGTTACATCTTTGTCATTTGAATGTACTTTATGGTTGGCCATGTATTTATTATTATTTTTTTCCCCTTGGTATAGCAAACAGTTTGCCATGGTTTTACTCTGTATTATAAAATGCTATGAAATCTGTGGATTTTATTTGTGTAGTAATTGGATGATCCAAAATTCATCTTGGAGTATAAGTTTACATTTGTATTTAGAGGTTTGGTTTCCTTTGGCTTCAGACAACATATGTGGTTTGATTGGAAAACCCTAGTTTTAAAGCATTTGGTATTTCATTAGTCATAATAATTAAGTTCTACAACACTAGATAAATACCTGGGCTTGATCTGTGTACATTTATGTTCCTTTTGGACCCGCTTTTACAATATGCCTCTCATTCTTCTCTCCGACTTTTCTTCACTGAAGGGAAGGATAAAAGGATAATTATGGTATTTCAAATTATGTAATATTAAGCCTCCATCTAATGGCACTAATTTTGTCAAGATCATTAATGTGCTTTAACTACATCCAGTTTATTATTTAGCATCCCAACATATTGCTAAAAGTGCTTCTGAAACTTTCCTGTCTCTAAAGCCGAGGTGCCTAAAAATTATTCCAGAGCATTTTATAAGTAAAATTTATCAATTGCTCCCATCTTATTTCCTTTCTAGTTTGAATGAGATAAGCTATTAATTCTCTTTATAGCTTACTTAAAATAGAATAATATGAATTGTTTATTACCTGCATAATGTTCATGCATATAGCCTTTGATTTTGAAAACATAAGAGGTTATGGTTAGATGAGGTCTTTTTTACCTAGTCATGTAAGTGAGGTGATCTAAAAGATACTGATAGTTTTAGATCAAGACGTAACTACAAAATAAATAAATAACACTTATGAGCCATTTGGTTTAAGTAATGGGGAGAAATGAGTTTTAAACAAACATAATGAGACTAGAATTTTTAGTTGGTCGCATAGAGATCTATTGCCCTGTCCCTACTCCCTGGTCACAAAGGCCAGGTACTAGAAGTAGACTATACAAAAATGTTTGTGTGAAGTATGAAAGGCTTTTAAAATCATTTCTAATGGGTTAGGGGCATCTGGGTTGCTCAGTCAGTTAGGCCTACAACTCTTGATTTCAGCTCAGGTCATGATCTCATGGTTCATGAGATTGAGCCCCAAGCACAGAGCCTGCTAGGGGTTCTCTCTCTCTGTCCCTCCCCCTCACTCACATGCTCTCATGCTCTCTCTCTCAAAATACATAAATAAACTTTAAAAAATCATACCTAGTAGTTTAATTAAAACAGCAAAATTTAGCTGTAAATATCCTAAAGAATTTTTTTAAAGCAGAACTAATGGCAAATGCTAAACATCTGAACAATTCAAAAAAAGCAAGCTACCTAAAAGAACTAAATATGAAGAGTGATCTGGATTGTTGTCACTATCCTTCAGAATCAGTAAATGAACTACTTTTAGAAGATATTGAATGAACAACCAACTCTGTAATACTTTATGGATCATGTAGAGTTTTCCTAAATCCAACTATCTTGATCCTTCCCTCCTCCATGACAGAATGAGGCTTTTAATGTTGCTGCCATGGCAAGGTTTACCTACTCTTATTCTTCAAAGGCAAGGCCATATCTTACCATCTCTGTTTTCAGTGCCTGGAATAGTGCCTGCCACTTGGTAGACACTTTGCAGAGAGAGAGGGAGACAGAGAATCCCAAACAGGCTTTGCACTGTCAGCACAGAGCCCGATGTGGGGCTTGAACTCAAGCACTGTGAGATTATGACCTGAGCCGAAACCAAGAGTCGAATGCTTAACCAACTGAGCTACCCAGGCGGCCCACTTTGGCATTTTTAGTATTGCTAGAAAGAATTAACATTTTGTCTTTTCTTCCTATAGGTGGAATTTGAATGCATAAATGAAAAAAAGAGGCAAAAGAAGAAAAGCTACAAGAATTCAGGTGTTATCAGTGTGAAACATTGTGAGGTTAGTTGATATTGACCATTTATAGTAAGTGTAATGAGATCCCATTTCAAGTTCTTTTTTCAATATGGTATATATTAAGCAAACAGACAAAGAATATTAAAGTTTTTTCTTAAGAAATGTGAATTGAATTTTGGGCAATTGAAAATCACATGAGCATCTGGATACCCTTAAGGAAAAGAAGAGAGTAGGAAATAGTAAAGAAATCTTTCAAGTAAATTTGGTTCCAAGGTTTGACAACTTTTTAGCAAAAGAAAAGATTATTAAAGTTTTTTCCTTATTGTAAGAAATATGAAGCATCATGGTATTTTCCCAGAGCATTAGCAGAAACGACCTGACCCAGTGCATCTATCCTGGTCATAATTTCGAGTTGAGATATTGTAAACAGAGGGAAAAATTCAAGAGATTTCTTACAACAAACAAATGAAGTTTTTCTGGTTTTGTTTTTTATTAAAAAAATTCAATTATTATGCTTATTAAAGGTCTCAACATATTAGATTCATTGCCAGTTTCTTAAAACCTAAAGTGATTTCATCTTTGGCCATTAATATTCTAATCTTAACATTGATTTAATTATCTCAAATTAAAATCATACAAATTCATGACAAGTAGGGGCAGCGGTACCTTAAACTCAAATGCTGGGGTGGTTTCCACATGCTTATATCATGTTTTGTTCAGTTTCTAAACTGTTAAAAACGTATGCCAGAGAGCTCTTTGTATCTCTTGTATAGTAAAAGAGTTTTAATTTTAACAGTGCTGTCTGTTTTTAGATTACAGTGGAATGCACATTCCTTGACTATATCATGGGAGGATGTCAGCTGAATTTTACTGTAAGTAACACTGACTTTTTCAAAAGTCATGTAACATATTACTTTTTCCTACCATTTTGCAGTGTTCTATCCTTGCCTGTAAAACTGACTTAGTGATGAAATTTATACAAGCTGTTTAGTATGATCTCCTCAGACAGGTTGTCTAATAAACTCATCCACAAGCTTTCAACTTTGTTGGTCAGATCTGTTTCTTCTGATGGAAAGCAAATATGTCCTATAGCAATTTAAAATTATAGAAGCATTAGTCAAACAACATACAAAAATAAGCCCTACATCTAAAGTCATGGATTTGAGGCATCTAGAAAAAATAGGAATAACAGATTGTTTCATGCTGAAGCTTTAATTGTTTGTCTGTGGAAAAACTGGTAGGCCCAGGCATTTGTTAGAAAATGGTAGCAGCAGGCTCTGGGATGAATATTTGTTTCATCTCCTGGACATCGAGTGTAGGCTTTTCCTTATTAAGGGCTGCGATTATTATTTGGCAGGTGGGAGTGGACTTCACTGGCTCGAATGGCGACCCAAGGTCTCCTGATTCCCTTCATTACATCAGCCCCAATGGTGTTAATGAGTATCTGACTGCTATCTGGTCTGTGGGACTGGTCATTCAAGATTATGATGCGTGAGTATGAATAAAATATTTGTTTTTATAATTCCCCAGAAGGGGCATTTTCTGTTTCATCTGCTAGTACTTGGATATAGTTGTTGGTGATAAGACTGCTGGGGTTGACGGGGGGAGGGGAAGGGGCATGGTAGGGGTAGCTTTATCCCTAAAATTTCTTTCCTGTTGTCTTTTCTAGTTTTCTCTTGCTGACAGTTTTAGTGTTTACTTTTGACCTCTAATCTCTGGCTGTGATCAGTTATAAAGAGCTCACAAGCTTGTTTCTTTGATCTGGTTTCCTTGGGGTTTACTCATTAGGGATAAGTTACCTGTGTGATTGAAGTTCAGATGACACATTCTGTAAACATTCACAGACACTATTTACAAACATGTCTGTTTCTTGCCAGTGGCTGTCAAATTATTTTCTTAATGGCAACCTTGAACAAGTGCCAAGAGATAACTTGACTTAACTGTTATAAAATATTTTGAATAGATTCTCAATATATAGATTTCAAACAATAGAAAGCAATCTACATTAATACATTTTTGTTCTGGATCTCTTAGAGCACAGTATAAATTTTCACTTGCCTTTGCCTATTATTTTATGATAAAAGCCCTTACACAAATTGATGGAGCTTTTTATTAATCTGTTACAACATTTAAAGAGGTAATCTTTTCAGGCAAATGAAAACTAATCTAAAGCAAAGGTGGCAATTCCAATATCAACCTAGTATGATTTAAGTCAAAACTCATTAAATGTAATAAAAAATTATTTTATAGAATACTTTGTTATATAATCCAAAATGGAAATATAACCATGGACATATTTGATAAAAGAGTATGAAAGCATTTCAACTGAAAATAGTTAGAAATAATTAAAAAAATTTTTTAAAGTATTTATTTATTTATTTTGAGAGAGAGAGAGAGAGCACAAATGGGGAAGGGACAGAGAGAGAGGGGGAGAGAGAGAATCCCAAGCATGCTCCACACTTTCAGCATGGAGCCCCTCAGCACTGTCAGCATGGAACCTCATGTGAGGCTTGAACTCACGAGCCACAAGATCACAGCTAAAGCCGAAATCAAGAGTTGGACACTTAACTGACTGAGGCACCCAGGCTCTCCTATAATAAAACTTTTAAAGCAACACAATTAAAATGGAGTTTATATAAAGAATAAAAAATTTATAAGGTTTCTTTCTCAGACTGCCACCTGGAAGTTAATACAAAAGGATAACTAAAAAGAATTTACCATAAGGAAATTTAAAAAAATCTTAAGTAGTTGTTAGATGAAAGAGGAAATCAAACTATAATAACAATCTAGAAATAGAAGGAAACAAGAAGACTATACATGGTCCTATCTTTAATAGAGGAAAATTTTTGGCTTTACGTGCTTTTATTTTTTAAAGAAGAAAAATCAAATATAAATGAAATAGAGTTTCAACAAAATAAAATTAAAGAATAGGAAGAAAAAGATATGATGATAATAGCAGATTCTATCTGTGTATGAGCCATCATGTGTCAGGCACAATTTAATGTAGTTTCTATGTGATGCTCATCTAATCTTTATAATTTGCTGTGACATATGTACTATTATCATCCATTATTATCTGCATTGTGTAGATGAGAAAATTGAGGCATAGGGAGTTAAATAGCTTGTCCAGAGTGACTCAATTGGTAACTGGCAGAAACAGAATTGAGCCTGGGCTGTCTGCTCCAGAGACATGCTCTCCAGGCTATATTGTGTACTTTGCTGTATGTCCTCTAAGCACCAAAAGTAAGGGACTTGGAAAGTTTTAAAACCACCACTAAATGAATAAATTAAATGACAAGATGATTCTTTGCAAGTTCAACAAAACATAGGCAAATCTTGCCAACAACATGCATAGAATATTAGTAATGAGACAGAGATTATAAGCATAGATCCCCCAAAAATTAACAATTGTAAGTTAATACTCAATAAAACTTATTACACTGGAACATCTGGATTAAAGGAAGATTTTGGGGGGAAGCTTTAAATTAGCAAAGTTGACTCAAAGAGGCAGGAAGCCTGAAGAGACTAGAACCATGGAAGGAATGGTATAGTCCAAAGAGCCACTCCTCACAAGAGAACCAGGCCAAGACAGTTTCATACATAAATTCTACCAAACCTGTAAGGAATAAATTTAAACCTAAGAGAATCAAGTAAAAAAATAATAGAAATCAGTGAGAGTTCAGAAAGGTGGTCAGATACAACATAAAATTAAAAAAATCAGTAACTTCTCAGTAGCCAGCAATAACCAATTGAAGAAATTATAGCAGTACAAGATCACAGTTCATGATGCAATAAAAAATAAGCATGAATTTAGAGAGTTCTAGGATCTTTAGTGAGGGAAAACTACAAAATTGTACTGAGAGACAAAAAAGGAAACTTGTTTAAATGGAGAGCTATACCATGATTCTAGATAGGCAGATGTCATAATGATGTAATATATAAAAATTATCCCAGAATTAAGCAATTCTAATCAAAATTGCAATAGAACCCTGATAAAATGATTTTTAAAATTTCCTAGTGGGAAAAATGAATCCAAGAAATTTTTAAGGGGGGAAAAAAAAGAAATGAAGGGGAGTTTTGTTTTAGCAGATATTAAAACTTATTTTAATGCTGTATTAATTAGAGGCACCTGGGTCACTCAGTTAAGCATCTGACTTCTGCTCAGGTCATGATCTCATGGTTCGTGGGCTCTCATCGGGCTCTGTGCAGACAGCCTGAACCCTGCTTGAAATTCTCTCTCCTTCTCTCTCTGCCCCTCCCCACCACATGCTTGATCTCTTTCTCTCAAAATAAATAAACTGTAAAAAAAGGTGTATTAATTAATATTACAGAACTAGTACATGACAGTGGAACAAAACAAGTCTTGAAATAGAGCCTAGGGTGTACTTGAACTTAATATAGAGATGTGATAGAGATGACATTTTAGGGAAAGGGGTTGTTACAGCTGCTAAACTAGACAAGAACTGAATTTGTATTTCTAAAATCATACCTATATATGTTAGGACACTATTTTTTTTTAAGATTTGATTTGATTTATTTTAATATTTATTTGATTTTGAAAGAGAGAGACAGAGTAGGGGAGGGGCAGAGAGAGAGGGAGACAGAGAATCTGAAGCAGGCTCCAGGCTCTGAGCTGTGAACACAGAGCCTGACACGGGGCTTGAACCCACGAACCGTGGGATCATGACCTGAGCCGAAGTCAGATGCTTAACCAACTGAGCCTTCCAGGTGGATTTTTAAGTAATCTCTACACCAACATGGGGCTTGAACTCACAATCCTGAGATCAAGAGTCACATGCTCCACCGACTGAGGCAGCCAGGTGCCCCTGTTAGCATACTATTTTGTATAGAATATAGACAAACTGCTGAAATAGACACCCCCCAAATAACGTACATTTACCAAAATAGGTGTTTACTTCTTTTTCATGTTGCAAGTGTAGAATGTGTCTACCTTAGGTTCTATCCTAAACGCAAAAAGAACAATTAAGAATTAATATAAAAAGAATATCCCAGCAGAAAAATTAGTATGTTCATTACAGTGTTTTATAAGAGCAAAGCATTGGATGTTTATTGGTTGTGGGAGAATATCCATACAGTGGAATATTTAGCCATTCACATGATGTTATATATTCAGGTCCATAATCCCTTATCCCTACACCACTGGGGCCAAATATTCATACATTTTGCTACAGAAATGTGAGAATTTTATATGTGACTTTGCACCATGTTTCTGTGGCCAAATGTATGAATATTCATATTCAGTAGTATGAATAAAAGCTATAAATAACCTCATATCAGTTGAGGTCAGGTTTTGCTGCCAAATGAGTTTGCTATAAGCGAATGAACTTTTGTTTTTTAGGGCTTTATGGATTTATCTACATATTTATTCAGCAAAATGATATACAGTATTTAAGTAGAAAAGAGTATGTTATAAAATATGAATATAAACTCCAGTTTTATAAATATATATATAGACAGAGACATTTTTCACCCTTGTTACACAGAAAAATACTTAGAGTGATTGTTGCCAAATATTAACATTGGTTCTCTAGTGGTTATTATGGGTTTAATCTTTGTATTTGCCTTAGATTTTGAATTTTTTTAAAACAAGCTCTATTGGTTTTATTATGAGCAAAGATAAAATTTTCTATTTTGAGAAAAAAGTTACCTTTCAGTTTTTTCAAATTTTCTTTTTAGTGATAAAATGTTTCCAGCATTTGGTTTTGGAGCTCAGATACCTCCTCAGTGGCAGGTGAGAGGAAATCCTATTTTAAATATTTCCCTCCAACAAAAGCAAAACAGGGTCTAATGAGTCCTTTCATCTTTTGACAGGTTTCGCATGAATTTCCAATGAACTTTAATCCATCCAATCCCTACTGCAACGGTAAGCTAAAAAGTTAACAGGAAGATTTTACACAGAAAGCCTCACTAGTGTTTGTTACTTGTTGTTTTCTTGTGATTCAATACTACTCAAATTCCCTTCCTCGTTTTCTTTTCATGACATATTTAACATTCTGTTGTATAAAATGGAAGAATTACACCAGGTTGTTGGTTCAAGTGGTAAAGATAATAATGGTGCAAATCTATTATGAAGATGATTGTTGGGTAAGTTCTACCTTGAGAGGTTCAATAGAAAAACAAGATTTTCAGTCTTGAGAACAGATCAATACTCGTAATCATATTATTTTCACATACAGGTTGGTTTTAAAATCAAACCTTTAATAAAACAAGTAATTGAATATATATAGATTTGTGAAGCTTTTCTCAGAGTAGCAGCCACTCTCTACAAGGAAAACATGTCCAGCATCAAATTACTTGTTACTCAGATTACATCTGAGTGGGCTACCAACGGAACAAAGAATTAAGCTCCCACAGTGGCTCTCCTCTACATAGACAGCAGAAAACCAACATCTGTTTCATTTCATTTTCTTCTTTATACCTCACGTATCCAAGTGTTTCCTTCTTTTTACCCCAGTGAACAATCCACCTAAAATGCCAAATGTCCCACAATATGATACAAGTCTGAACTGTTTGTAGGAGGAAAAGGAGGTAGGGAAAAAAGCATAAAATTGTAGCCAATAAGCTAATTTTCTGCAAAGGGTCCTTTTGACAATTACAGAATATTTAGATTTCTAACAGAAGAGGGCGTTCTTTCCTTATCTTCAGTTTTCATGAACAATATTCATAGAGCAGAAGAGCATGAACATTTTGTTGGGAACAGTTTGTATTAGGGTTTTCTTGTTTTTTTCTAGGACACATTTTCCATACTAATTCAGTGTTCCTTTGATGTACTTTCAGTGGCTGGTTGTGACCTTTTTATCCCTAGTCATTTGAAATCGGGAATAGCAATTCTTGTCAAGAACTGTGTTTCATGCTTATGATGAAATTGGAACAATTTTTGGAATTTGGTGTTAATTAGGTTTTATTTCTTGCCAATAAATATGGATGACTTACATCATGTGAAAGTTCATTTTAGAAGTTCATTTACTCTGAGTAAAATGAGCCCATCTTTGGGCTGTCACCAAGCATAGCTTTTCTATTTTTGGTTTATAGTCTGAAAAAAATAATCCATTTGGTTTTAGACAGAGGACATACTGTACTGAAAAAAAAAATATGCCTTATTTTAAAGCAAGGGAGTTGAATTCCCTTTTCTTGATTAATCATTGAACTTAGGTGCCCAGAAATATTATGTCTTGCTTGTTCCTTTAATGCAAAGGAAGGATTTTGGCATAATTTAATTTTAGTGGAGGAACTGAAGGCAATGGATATTTGTGAAGAAATTTAATTAACAGCTTATATATCTTCATATTGAAAAGCAAACTGAAATGATAAAAATGAAAAAGAATATTATTGCTGTGAGGACTCAAATTTTCTATAGCATGTATCATTGCAGTAAGATCCTGCTGCTGGCCTATGTTAATATTATTTTTGTTAGCACTGAACTGACTGACCACTAGTTACAGCTTCACCTTGTGCATGTAAAATCACCTGTACATATGAATTAGTCACTTTCTCAAAGGATGTTCATGAGACTTATTCCTAACTTCAAAGTGACTAATAGGAGCTAATTAGAACTCTTAAATGTTAGGAGGAGAGCACTGGTCTTGTGAAGCTTTTAAATCAAGTATATACTTCTTTTCCTTGTTGATCTCTGTTCTGTTGGACATTTTTAATAGAACTTTTAAAAATTATTATTTTTTTGACAGAGAGGGAGAGAGAGAGAGTGCGAGCAGGGGAGGGGCAGAGAGAGAGGGAGACACAGAATCTGAAGCAGGCTCCAGGCTCTGAGCTGTCAGCACAGACCCCAATGCAGAGCTTGAACTCATGAGCCATGAGATCATGACCTGAGCCAACGTCGGAGGTTTAACTGACTGAGCCACCCAGGCACCCCCTGTTGGACATGTTTAAAGCAAGACACCTGTTTTAGTTTACATGTAAAATTTTTTCAGGCAGATTTCCTTAATGATCTCAACAAGTATAGTGGGGGAATTTCTTGAGGATTTCTAGTATCTTACCTGCATCCTTGACACTCTAATGTTAGGGGTAGATTCAACAGGCATGTATGTCACATTAAAACTTCATCAGGAGTGTTTTTACCAGGAATGCCATTCAAATTCCACTAAGTTGTGCTGTTATAATAACCAATCTCTCAGTAATTTATAATAAAAATAGTTTATTTCTTGCTCACTTTATATATCCCTTTACATGTGGCTAGTCTGCTCGTTATTTCTTCTCTTTCTGGGACTCAGAACCTTGACTGAGATGTTCTGCTCTCTTTGCAGAAGGAAAAAGCAAGATTGCTGGTGAAAATAGGCAGTGGTTCTTAAAATATCTACTTAGACATGAATGTCATGTCCATCTACATGCGTGGTCAAAGCTAGTCAAATGGCCCTGCCCCGTCTTCTACTATGCAACATCTCGGCAGGCCTGGGCGGTACTGCATCAACAAACACATTAGTATTTCTGCAGCAAAATGTAATACACAAGCTGGAAATGAGTTTTTAGAACTATACAGTTTATCATACCATGCTTAATCTTTAAGTTACTGAATAAACCCTTGACTAGAATTAACATTAGGATTATAGCCGTCTGAGTCCAGAGAATCTTTGGCCATCTATGCAAAAGTTTTTCCATTTTAATCAATAACTTTTACTTACGCCTTATCGTCAATTGTATGATATAGCACCGTTTTCATTCTTTTTTCATTAGAGTCTTAGTCCTAAAACAACAAAAATTAAGCAATATAACAGTCCTACTATAGATTAATGAATAATTTGGCTGCGATGAAAATAAATGCCTTTGGTTGGAGGAGGGAAGCATTTAGGTTTTTGCAATAGAGCATAACTATGAAGTTTTGTAATATATGGCTGAAGAGAAACTCTTGAATATAGAATTTTTAACTATTTAAAGCAATATAGTGTGTGTGTATATATATATATACATATATATAATTATACGTGTATATTAATTAAATTAACAGGTGTAGTGAACAATGAACAATTAAATTGTGCTTGACAATTTTTAATACTGCTTTTCTTGGCCTAGGAATCCAAGGCATTGTAGAGGCATATCGGGCCTGCCTTCCTCAGATAAAACTCTATGGACCAACTAATTTTTCTCCAATCATAAATCATGTGGCCAGGTTTGCTGCTGCAGCAACACAACAACAGACAGCTTCTGTAAGTATCGTAGTGCCAGGGGACAGGGAGAATATGGGTTGGTAGTTGCCTTTGGTACCGAGATCCATCAAGATACAAAGAGCATGAAATAGTAAGATAGCTGTCCTTGGTTTCGGAGTAACATCTGTTATTTTTAAATTAGTGATCATTAAAAGCAGGACAACAAAAAAATAACCCTTATACTCATGAGTCTTTTCTATTCCATTTGAATTAATTTTCTTAGATAGGTTCTACTAAAAAGAAATGGCTAATACCTACCTTTTCAAAGGTAGACTTAACAAATTAAGGCTTGAGGAAATTTACTGTTTCAGTTAGTGATGAAAAATTACTTACTGTCCTAAAAGGGTCTGAATTAGACAACCATTATCTGTTGGATTTTGATACCAAATCTCTCTTAGTTTCATAGTTTTTTATACCCAAAAGTAAGGCAGGGATAACTACCTCATACAACTGCTGAAAAGTGAAATAATATAATTCATTTTTTTTTCAACGTTTTTATTTATTTTTGGGAGAGAGAGAGACAGAGCATGAACGGGGGAGGGGCAGAGAGAGAGGGAGACACAGAATCGGAAACAGGCTCCAGGCTCTGAGCCATCAGCCCAGAGCCTGACGCGGGGCTCGAACTCACGGACTGCGAGATCGTGACCTGGCTGAAGTCGGACGCTTAACCGACTGCGCCACCCAGGCGCCCCGAAATAATATAATTCATATAAAGTGCACAGTGCCTGGGGCAGAGTGAACACTTAGCACGTGATTGCTCTGTTATAAAACTTATTTCCATTCTAGACTTAAATGATCCAAAAGATGGGGTAACAACTTTATGTAACATTTTACCATTCTCTAAAAATGTTTATCAGAGATGACAGTATTGAGAGAAAGATTCCTCCCCAAACCATATCCATTTTTCAAAAAGTGCACTTTAGTTTGATAAACAATTCTGCTTCTTTCATATTTGACCTTTTAGAAACAGAGTTGCCAGTTACTCTCTTGATCGATACTTTAACATATTTAATACTTATGTTACATCAAAGTGTTTATTCCAATGCTCACTAAAAGTTTAATGTCTGACATTTAGATGTCTTGCTTCTGTATATTTATACCAACTGTATTTTGTGGTCTGTTGCATTTTTAATGAACCTGCAATTTTTGTATAAATAAATTTCCTTGTCATTAGAGAGTCTTAGAATATTTTATGTAGATGGTATCCTAGGTAGGGACTGGAAAGGAAAATGAATAAGAAAGAGACTGAAAGACTCATCAAGCTGGAGATGTTTTTAACTGTTGCTTTTATTGTTTGGGAGCTCCTGTGCCCAGTGGATATAATTTTCTTTTTTGGCAGCAATATTTTGTGCTCTTAATCATTACTGATGGTGTGATAACAGACCTTGATGAGACCAGACAAGCTATAGTTAATGCTGCCAAGCTTCCTATGTCCATCATCATTGTTGGAGTGGGAGGTGCTGACTTCAGTGCCATGGAGTTTCTGGATGGTGACGGTGGAAGTCTGCGGTCCCCATCAGGCGAGGTAGCCATCCGAGATATCGTCCAGTTTGTGCCTTTCAGACAGTTCCAGAATGTGAGTACCACTCCTCCTTATTCTTCATATACACTAAGGAGTTTGACCACAGACCTTCACCAATCCATAACCAAGTGGTTGAGTGGGAGTCTGGGGTTAGAGGATGTGTGGATTTTTGGTTTGAAGAGTGCTGATTAGATTCAGCAGTTTTGCTTCAAGTTGTGTACTTGTGTGTTTCTTGCAGTCTATATGATAAATTGTTATAAGTGGTGTTGCTGTGAATGTTTTAAGATCTATTTTATCTTTACCTATGTATGTAACAACAGAAAAATTCTGTACAAGTATATGATGAATTTGTCAAACTGGAAGTTGACTTGATGAAAATCTCTCAGGACCCTGTTTTACCCAGTTTACTCCAGTGGTAACGTCTTGTAAAACTGCAGCACAGAATCACAGCTGGGATGTAGACATTGATGTAAACAAGGCCCATCACCTGTGGGACCCCTCTTGTGGCCCTTTTAGAGCCACACCCACTTCCCTTGCACCTCCACCCTGCCTTAACTCCTGGCAACCACTAATCTGTTCTCCGTTTCTATAATTTTGTCATTTCAAGAATGTTACAGAAATGTTGGGATTGGCTTTTTTTCACTCAGCATAGTATTCTGCATTGTTGTTGCTTCTGTTTATTTTGATCGGTGAGGTGTACTCCATGGTATAGGTATACTGGTTTATTTAACCATTCACTCATTGAAGGACATCTTTAATTGTTTCCAAATTTTGTCTATTATATGCCAACATGCTATAAACATTCATGTACAGGTGTTTGTGTGAACATGAGTTTTTATTTCTCTGGGATAAATACCCAGAAGTGCAGTTCCTAGGTTGTATGATTACTGCATGTTTAATTATGAAAGAAACTATGCTCTTTTACATTCCCACCAGCCAGTGTGTCAGTTTAGGGGGAGGTGATTAAAAGCAGTAATGTTAGGGATCCTTGTGGTGATGAAACTGTTGTGTATCTTTTTTTGTTGTTGTTGTTGTTTTTTTTTTTATAGAGAGAGGGTGCAAGTGAACGAGGGGCGAGAGAGAAGGAGAGAGAGAATACTACCGGAGGAGGGGGGAGAGAGAGAGAGAGAGAAAGAAAGATGGAGAGAAGTGGGATTCACCCGAAGCCGGACAGGAGCTCACCCCAAGCAGGGCTCGATTTCACCAGATGTAGGATTTGAACTCACGATCCATGAGATCATGACCTGAGCCCCTGAGGCACCCAAAACCATTGTGTATCTCTATTGTGGTTATGGTTATGCAGATCTACCCAGATGATAAAATTACACAGAATAATGCAAACACACATGTAAATGAACACATGTAAAATAAAACTGGTAAAATCTGAGTAAGGTCTGTGAAATGTACCATTACTAGTTTCCTGGTTTTGATATTACACTATAGTTATATAAGATATTACCTTTGGAAGAAACTGGGTGAATACTCTTTGTATTATTTTTGCAACTTCCTATGAATCTGTATTTCAAAATATAAAGTTAAAAAAATTAACACTAAGTAAATGAAAGACCCACATTTAAAAGCTAAGGAACAAAAAAAAATTGTCAAATGCCAAAATGTTGGTACCAAAAAAGGACTTGATAAATGTTAGTGGGGGTAATAAAACACTCCTAAGTAACATTAGTTACTTAGCTTATTCCATGCTTCATAGATCATTCCTAAGACAAGATACAGGTCTAGGAATTGGGAATTACTGTTTCTTACTAGTCAGTAAGAAGGTATTCCTAGTCTGTTATCAAAATGCCAGTAATTTGGTTACTAATAACGTCACTTTGATTTTGTTTTTCATAAGGCTCCAAAAGAAGCGCTTGCTCAGTGTGTCTTGGCAGAGATCCCCCAGCAGGTGGTGGGCTACTTCAACACATACAAACTCCTTCCTCCCAAGAACCCAGCTAAGAAATGAAAGGCGCCATGGTCGCAGGAGCAGAATTCTTTTGTGCTGTATGGAGCAATGGATTCCTCTCCCACCCCAAATCATGAATCTGTTATTTTACATGCTTTTCATCCCTAGCATTTATGATGTAAACCTAGTTCTCTACAGATTATATCTATTTAAAGCATTCTTTTTATACTTTTTTTGGAGGAAAGTGCTAAGTTAATCTCTGCTCAATCAGTGCTGTGATTGCTAGTGACTTGCAGTGACACTATCAGGATTAGAAACTCGCGTGAGAAGAGCTGATTTGGTGGTTGTGGTTGTTTATTTACATATTGTGAAAATGCTGTTTTTTGAATGTCCCTAGAAAGAATGGAAAATTGCTAGGATGTGATTTACAGGTTGCTGTACTTTGTTCTAGGCAATATATGTTTTATAAACCAATGTCCATACCTGATGACAAGAACTTCTTAAATTACATGGTATTGAATTTGTTCCTATAACTGTATTCAGTGCTTTTCCATGGGATAAAACTTCATTCACTTTTGCCTCAAAATTGCTGCAGTTTAGACATTGCAGTTTACAAAACAGTATGCATTCGCTTAGGACTTCATAAATAATACTGAATCATTCGAAGGGAAGGTACATATTCAATTCTTAAAATGTACAATCAGTAGGTAAAAGGAACCTCATGTAAGTAAGCCATTTTTATTTGCCCTTCTGGATCTTTTATTTCTATTGTGGAATACTGTAAACATGGTCAGATTTGACCTTTTCATTTACTATGTGGGACATTCAGGATTCTGTATCTGCATAGATGATAGTTTATCCTAGATTCAACATTATTAGGGTATTTTAATTGGAATTTGCTAAAATGGTTAGGACTGCTTTGTCCACGGAAGGTATGAGGACCAAACATATAAGAGGAAATTCAGAATTCCATTCCCTTTTAACTAATGAAATACTTTAGTTATTAAAAAAAGACAATTTTTATATTTTCCTTGCTAAGATCTCATACATTGATTTGTACATTTGTACAGATTCATTTAGACATTTGCTCCGTTTTTTTAGTAACATTTTAGTCTGATTTTTAAACTCATGATAGTGGTCATGTATTAATCAAAATCAAATTTTGCATTTTAATAATGTGTTATTTCCTAAGTCCAGAATGTATGTATTCAGCATAAAACCTGTTGTAACTTAAAAAAAAATTTCCCACTGCTGCTGCATTAGGATAGGGTGGACTTTACGTGCTTTTTTTTTTTTTAGAGTAGAATTATTTTTTTCTCTGTTTTTTACCCTTTAGAACATATTCAGACATTTTCAGAATAGATTCAGTAACATTTTATTAAAGGACCTGTGTGCCAAGTACTATGCATATTCATATGTTGGCCAATCATCTCTAATAATTTAATGTTAAAAATTGTGTGTTTATCATATGTCCTTAAGTGGATGCACCCGGTGCCTTGCTGACATGCCTTTCCTTCTTACTGAAACTTGCATCGCAGCTCATATCTCTCATTCTCTGAAATGTCGAAGGGAGATGAGCTCTCAGCCATGAAGAACTTTGGCCTCTCAGAAGTCGCATGTTGTCAAGGTCAGGCTAAGAGGAGACCTGCTTGTGCTTGTGGTTGCCTAACTCACGCGAGCAGTTCCTGCCTTCCCACTTAGCTAGCTAGCGTCTGCATACGTGCTGTTAACTTGAAGGTGCCTAACTAATAGGCTGTTACTCTATGGCATATCTCAGTTGACAAATCATTTTAGCATTAGTTAAGTGAGAAAAAAACTGATAATTCTTCCAGTAGTTTGGAGCCTTTGTTGTCTCAGATGTCCTGATTTCAGTTCTCTTTGTGTGCTTGGAAACAGCATATATATATTGCTGTGGTTTTCAGGATATTTTTTTTTGAAGCCTTAAAAAAAAATGATATACACACATCCTCAATGTATGATGAAACAGATAGAAGTGGAGCTTCTCTACGCTGGAGCAGGGTCCAGAGTCCCTCTCACTGGTCCTCCTCCTCCCTCCCCTTAACCAGCTGCTGGCAGCCCTGAGTCACCAGCACTGGGCACCTGGGAACCACTGGTCGTGAGCATTCATTGTTTTCATTAGCCAAATACTGGTACTTCTGTCACCACTGTCTGATTTGGTCTTCATAATTTTATATGCTGGTTTTAACCAGAATCATTCCAATTTTTAAATTGCTTTTTAAAAATTCATTCTTGATCAGGTTCATCAGTAGATGCTATTATTCATAGGAACTATGATTCCAGCAAATGAGGATAATTGATGCCTTTTTGCAGTTCTGAATAAAAGCATTTACAGTTTCTAAATTATCATTTGGTAAAATTCTTACTATTTCACCATTTCACCTCATCACATACTGATTTAATATTGTTTTGTATAAAAATAGTCCTTTTCCCTATTGTGCCACCATGCACTGCACTGTCACCAGTTCTTAAAATGCATTAAAAAAAATAACCAAGTTGACTTTCCCGTCTCATATGATCATCTGTCTTACAAACACGTATTGGGGTGACAGTGCCCTGGGCAAACGTAATATTTCTCACATATGCCTGTACTGAGAAAATAATATATACCAATTAGCATGGTTATGTCACCTTGTGCTTTGAATTGAAATTTTTAAGATCATAAAATTTCAAAGTCAGATCAGGAATTTACAACTGTTCATTTTGGTAGTGCCTTAGGCACCCTTTCCAGAAAAAGTTCTGGGCCCCATTGCTGTTTATGCTTTATTTGACATATTTTGCCTTTTTCATTTTATAAATTTCCAGGAAAACCATCTTCAATAAATTTCTTCTAGTCTCTTTCTGTGTGCAGTTGATAGTCATGGGAGTGACACATAAGGGAAGCCAGAGGTTTGGTTATGATTGGCAAGAGACTATCTTGTGCTTTAATGATGTTGTACTTGATAACAAGTGTGTAAGTTACTAATGTATGAATTCATGTTAAATATATCTTCCATTTGAATTCCCTTTGGATAAAGTTATTTCTTGATGTGATTCAATAATGGTGCCTTGTTTTCATTTATTCTTTCTCTAAATTGTTATCAAAACCAGTAGAAAAATTAGAAATAAAGTGAATATAGTATTTAGGGTGGCCTGTATTCATGTATTGCTGCACTGAGCAGTTTGGGGCTTTTTATTATTTTATAGGAGTTATTCATTTAAAATATAATGAATGCATTGAAGATACATTTCTGGGTGCAAGGGATAGGTTCTCAGCTTATAGCTGGATGGCCTAAACAATATGGTGCTCACATTGAATCAGTTGTGTTAAGCAGGGCAGTATACCCACCTTACTTTTTTGTTTTTTGTTTTTTGTTTTAATTGCTTCTGTTATGTTGCAGTCATCGGGCAGGGCCTTGGGGATACAGTGGTGACCTAGGGGCTGCAGCTGCTCCCTTCATAGAAATAATGGACTGGGGGAGAGAGAAAACATTAAATGAGTAATTACAGAAACATGAGATCAGTGTATGATGTAACATATTGTAGCAGGAGACTTGACCCGTCCATCTGGCAAAGAGCAGTTCCCTAAGGATGTGCCGTTTAAGCTAAGACCAGCTAACGTTAGCTGGGTGAAGAGGGTTAAAAGCATTTATATGGGGTTAGGTCAACAGCAAGTTTAGACTTTTAGGAATGGAAAGAACTTAAGGTGTGCTGAAATATAAAGTGTGGGTGGGAAAGTGGTAGGAGGGAGGAGAGAGAAAATGGAGCGGTTGGTGTCGTTTACATTCTGCGAGACCTCAGGGGCATGCAAGAGAGTTCGGGCTTAGACTAAAGTTACCGGGATGCCACTGAATCAACTTACAGAAAAGAATGGTGTGATCAGGCTCATGTTTTTGAAAAACTGGAGGGCTTCAGATTTTAGGTTAGATGATGGATGCCTATTGCCAATGGCTTTGCCTTCCTGAGGCCTTGAGGAGGGAGTCAGTGGTGGTTACCTTCTGGTAGAAACTCAGCTGTCTGGTCACTTGCTAAGTGCTTGATTTTAGGTTAGTTTCTGAATTCTGTGCTTTTCCTGCCACAACCCTGACTCAACATCAAATCATCTGTTAGGCCCATATCTTATCAATTCCATAGTGGTCCAGAGGCTGGCTCACACCTGATGGCAACACAGATCCCCAGGATTGTCAAACCCTTGCTTGTAGCAAGATCATGACCTTTGTCACTTGTCACCAAGCATGGCCATATTCAGCCACATTCCCCAGAAAACTCACAGCAAGTTGCAGTGTCCTTGGAGAATTTTATTCTGGCTTGGCTATTGATTCTCTCCTCCCCAAGAAGACGTGATGAGTGAGACAAATATTATCAGCAGAATTTTTACTTCTTACAATAGAAAGGGAGGCCATGATATCTTTGGCCTTTTCACAAGCAGATTCAACATACCAGGTTTTCTAATAGCACCTGGTCTAGGACCAGACTCAGAAGAATATCAGGAATTGGGGAGCTCAAGAGAGTTCTCAGAAAGATGACTGAAGAGGAAATAATTTCTCTTTTTAACCAGTTATTCTATCCAGTAAGAGGTATTCACTTTGAGCATATATTTATTGAGTAGCTTAGTATTGGCAATCAACAGGCAATGTCAAAATGAGTAAAATTTCTTCAAAGAGCCTATAATCTAATATGGGAAAGAAGATAGTATATGATGCTAAAATAAAAAAATAAAGTGAATGAAATAATAAAAAAAAAAGAATTAGTAAGCCCTTCGTGCTTAAGTACGACTATCCCTTCTTACGCCTTCAGGCATCTGTAGTCCCGAGTACAGAAGGAACCCGTGAACACTGCTGGCAAGATGTTCCTTTCTCCCCTCTTTCCAGCACTCCTTTCTCCCCACCACTGTCCTAAGATTGTCAGGACTGATCCTGCCAGTTCTCACAAGAAGTTCAGATCATGAACTTCCTCATTCAAACCCACCTCTGGCTCTGTACAATCCATATCCTGACCACACCCCATTTCTCTGCCACTGCCCAAACCCTCCACTCCGCCCTTAGGAACTGGGTCATTCATTA